GTTCGGGCACGTCGTTGTCGTAACAAAGGAGCCTTTCGGGCGTTCCCTGTTATAATTATAGTATAATATACCCCCCCGAAAACCCTATTTTAAGTATAAGTATTAAGGGGCCCACATCAGCTCTCTTGTTTCGATCTTTGGCGAGTCTATGCTGCGGATTATCTTGTCTTAAGGGGTTGTACATAGGTCTCCTCGCAGGACTTTCATGCTCTGTTTGACCCGGCCGTTAGGAAATGCCCCTGGGGCATTTTTGTCGACAGCCAGAGTGTATGGCTTGTAATCTAGAAGCCTGAATATGTAGTTTTCGGTTGTATTGTATCTGGAGCTCCAGAACATTTGTAGCTTATGCTACAAAGCCCTGCAAAACCCCAACCCAATTAGGCAGGCCCACTCACAAAGCCTTGCAAGCTTGCCCGCTATTCGCGGTAAGGTTTTTGATAGGCGCAGGCTGACTTGAAAGTCGCATTTCCTGGACGTCGTGCAGTAATCGGAGCTTTACGATGGTTGGTACTGGTGTCTTTGCCAAGGACATCCCTACCTCTTCTGTTCAGTGATATTTTGAAATCTCGTCGTAGCTTTCATGTAGTCCTACAGATCCCAGTTCAAACTACCCCCTAAACCCTAAGCCTTGGATACTGCCCCCACTCAGTAACAGTTGAGTAATATTCAGAATATGGATATATACGTCCCCTTAATAGTAGCCCTCTTATAGACTGTTACTGTATGGGGGCAGTACCCAACCTAAACCCTGAACCTTACAACCCTAAACCCTATAACCCAAAACCCTAACCTTAAAACCCTAAACCCTAAACCCTCAACCCTATAACCCAAACCCTTAAACCCCAAACCCCCAATCCTAAACCCCCAACCGACTCCCCTTCTTACAGGGGGCCCAACTTTCCAGAACCTCCGACCCCTTCCCATAGAGCCCAATACCCCCTAATTAAGGAATATACCTTAAATCATAATGATATTAAGGCCTCTATAATTTAAGGTATATTCCTTAATTCCCTTATTGGGGCCCTTATAGAAACCCTCATAGATCCCTTTAAGGAACCCTATAATTTAAGGTATATTCCTTATTTAAGGGGGTATTGGGCTCTCTGGGTTTGGGCCGAGGCTCTTCGCTTACTTGGACATGAACCGCAGGGAGACTCAGGGTTCGAGCTTGAGTTTTAGGGGCTTAGGGCTTTAGGGTCTAGGGTTTCGGGAGCTTAGAGTTTTAGGATCTATTTTTTGGGGAGTTTTAGGTTTAGGGTTTAGGGTTTTGGGGGTTTTAGGGTTTAGGGGGTTTACGGTTTAGGGTCTTTTTTTTGGGGGGGGGGGAGTTTAGGGTTTAGGGAGTTTACGGTTTAGGGCCTAGGGCTTTGGGAGTTTGGGGTGTAGGCTTTAGGTTTGAGAGATTTGGGTTTATTGACGGTTTGGGGTGTAGAGTTTAAGCATTCATGGCATTAGGGTTGAGAGTTTTAATTTTAACTGGGGGGTTTAGGGTAATTTTTGTCAGTGGGGCTTTTGGCTTTGGCCATTTCTCTTGGGCTCTGTGGGTTCGCAGTGTTGAGTTGTTGGATGTCGTGAGCCTGCCTTAAAAAGCCATTTTGGCCGTTGTAGTCTGTGGAAGACCTTCGATAACTTTGAGATTCTGCAGCTTTGTTCGGGGTTTGGGGTTTAGGGTTTAAGGTTTAGGGCTTAGGGTTTAGGGTTGGGGATATCTCAGTAACAGCTGCAGCTAGGCCGAGTTGCCGAATGAGAAGCAGAACCCGCAATTGAGTTGATTCCTCAAAGCTCGGGTGTTCAGCTTAGGCAGACTTCGAGTCGGAGAGTCGAAAGAGTCCTAGGCTTTGGGGATTAGATTTTTAACCGACCCTAGACCCGAAACCTTAGGCCCTTTTGATTCGCATCTCTTGGAGCAACTCCGCGCCGAAGCCACCGGTAGCAGTTCCGCAGTTTTCAAGGAAGCCCGAAACTTGTAAAACCCTACGGTTGATGATATAAATCCTGCATTACCCATAATAAGGAATGTACCAGAATCCCAATAGTTTAGGGTCCTTAAGGTAATGCAGGATTTAGATCATTAACAGTAGCTCATGGAATTCCCCGAATGCAAACCCCAAGAGACCCTGAACCAAAAACCCAGAAGTGTTCAACCCCGCGAAGGGTTTCGGGTTTTGGACTTCAGGGGTTTAGGGTTGACGGTTTAGGGGTTTACGGTTCAGGGGTTTAGCCTTGAGGGTTAGGGTTTTGGACTTGTAGGGCAGTCAGCTCATCAGCAGTTTCGGTGGCACTATAGTAACAATCAGCAGCCTAGAGATGCTGTCCAAAACTGGGAGACCCCGCTGCCTGAGAGTATTCAGCTTCTTGCTCTGGGCTGATTAAGCATCCGACCTTTTCAGTTATTGCTGGATGCTGGACAGGCCATCATCGAAGTCATGTGCCACAAGGCCAAGAGCCTTGGAGGGGCCACTTGGCGTCTGCGACCGGTTTCCGAGCATCCCGGATGCCGACAAGCTGGCAAAGGTAAATCGGCGTCTGCTGTGCTCCGAAGCTGTCGCCGCGGAGTCCTTAGGACCCTGGCCGACCTTGAATGCCAGATCTTCCAGCGCCTCCGGGATTGCGGTGTCCCAGGTCAACGGGCTGTTCAAGCCCAGAACTACAACGTTTAATTTGAGCCTGAACAGCAGCCCCTGAAGTGTGGGGCTTTGATTTGGGGGGTTGTTTAGTTCGAGGCCGGGGAATTTGGAAGTGTTTCTTGCTGATACCATGTATGAGTGTTGTTGCTTTTGCTTTTGTGATTTTGGGGACATCCGGGAGCATAAACGAAACAGGTGCACCCTCTTCATAAGGCCAAGCCCTAGACCCTGAAACCCTAAGTTCATGATCTGAAATCCCGGAGGTTAAGCCCATGTCTTGAAGCATGATTTGGGGCAACCAATTGGGGGCTGTTGTTGCTCGGAGCTCATGTAGCCGAGCTCGAGCCAATTACTGGACAAGAGCCCGGTAAGTCCCTAAACCCTGAACCCTAAACCCCTAAACCCCTGAACCCCCTAACCCTAAACCTAAAACTTGGCCCCCAACCCCCAAGCCCGAAGCGCCTGAACCCTAAGCCCGGTACACCCCAAACTCCCTGAACCCTAAACCCCTAAACCCTAAACCCCTAAGCCCGTAAACCCCTACACCCTCAACCCAAAACCCTACATCCAACCCTGAGCTGAAACCGCGACTTCGAAGCCCAAACAATGCATCCCTAGACCCTAAAGGCCCTAAACCCTAAACATCCCTAGACCCTAAACCCCTGAACATCCCTAGACCCTAAACCCCAAACCCTAAACCCTAAACATCCCTAGACCCTAATCCCTGAAACCCTAAACCGTGACTGCCCAGACGATGGCGTGCTTCAGGTTGACGACTTGTATCTCGATTGCAGCCATGCTTTTTTTCGGGAGCCCTAGGATTTGATTCCGTTTGTTGTTCAGAGCCTTGTTACACTATCCCCCCCTGTTCCTCAGGCTTACATTACATTCCCTAACCCAGAGAACCCAATACCCCTTAATTAAGGAATATACGTTAAATCATAATATTACGGCCCCTATCATTTAAGGTATATATTCCTTAATTAAGGGGTATTGGGTTCTCTGGGAAGTTCTAAAAACTCATCGTTTATCTCTTCGGGTTCCTTAAGAAGCGGCCCAGGAAACTTCGCTGCGACCCCAATGCAATGGCTGAAGGCTGGTTTCCCGTTGTACCAACAGTGGAGGGGCCGAGAATTGATGACAGGTTTTAGGGTTTTTAGGATTTTTAGGATTTTTAGGGTTTTTAGGGATTGCAGGGGTTCAGGGTGTAATGAGTCTGTACCGGCTCTTGGAGCGCGGTGGGTCGGACCGACACGATGATGCTGATGATGCTGGCCGTTTCGCTTCCTGGTAGCGGGACCGTGCAGTGACAGACTCGCGCTACGCGCGAAGGTGTCGATGGCCAGCTACGGCCAAAAGCAGCTGATGTTCATAATCCTCGTGGCAGTTGTCGGCTGAAGACGATGATGCGTGCTCGCCCACAATGCCGGTCAGCGGGACAAATTGATGTCGATGAAGCTCCCTCGTTCTGCGTGGGATCGAGTAATAGCTGCTGCAGGAGCTGCTGGTGATGCGCATTCTTCCAAGACGTTGTTCCATGCTTGGGTTTAGGGTTTAGGGTTTAGGGTCGGCAAACCCTAATGACGTTCCATGAGTGTCGACTGACAGCGGCAAGTAGAGCAGCGGTTGATGTTCACGATTCCCGGTCTTTCTCAGAGCTGCAGGCTATTCGATAGCTTGGGGAGGGGGGCGCAGCTTCTCCAGCAAGTGAAACTCCCGTCTTAGAATGGTAGGATGCTGACGACAGTCAAGCGCCAAAACATGTTCCCTAGATCTATCCGAACCACTAGACATTCCAATGTGTTTCCTGGAGATAAAACACAAAGCGGAGGCCTTAGCTCTGAAACGACAGCAGGCATAGCCACCATAGAGTCGGCATCTTCTGATGGAAACCAGCTTGTCAGGGGAGCGGCATGCCCGTGGAGCTCGAATTCCTTCTGACAAGGTGCCTCGCAGACACAAGGGAGACTCTTAGAAGAGGGCTTAAGCGTTTGAGAGCTTGGAGATTCCGGGTGTTGGGTTTAGAGCTTGCGGTTTGGAGCTTGAGGTTTTAAGGTCAGGGTTCTGAGTGATCGGACTGGGCGTTGAACTTGAGAGCGCAGACTAAACCCGTGAAAGCTTCGGATGAGGCTGTGGACGGTGCACGACAAGCTTCCCGAAAGATTGAAATCTGAAGCAGCGGTGCCTCAGACCCCAAATCCTAAACTCTCTCTGTGCGACTTCGTCCTGAGGCTTGATCGACAAACATCTGAAACTTTTCGCCCTTACTAAGCCATCCTATTGAAGTCCTTATAGAAACCCTCATGCCAGGCTTGGAAAAGTATTCCGGGCTCTTCGTTAAACCCTAAACCATTAAACCGCCACAAGGTCTTGATGGGCTTCTTGGAGAACTTCCGTAGGTTGGTCGGCGGTGGAGTGTCGGGCGAAGTGCGCTACGCAGACTTCGCTGCTTATCTGAGCTACCTACATCCTAACCTGTCGTACCCCCTACTTTGGGGTCATAGACCATAGACATAGAACGGATTATCGAAAAGAAGTAATTGCATTTCAGGGTCTAGGTGCTACAGTCAATTTGCGGGTGGTTGGGGAGTTTGTTAGGCAACCCCAACCCTGCTACTCTAGGCACTCAAATGATCTTAAGGCTGTCAAAGACCACTGTAGAAACGACGATGTTGGCCTAGTTTAGCCTTAGGCCTACTCTCAGTGTTAGGCATTGTACAAGGGTTTTGCCGGCATTATCAGAGTGTTTTCGAGGGTTAGCTGCCGTGTTGTTTGGGCCTTTCAGAAAGTAACAGTCGATCACAAGAGTTTCGGGTTCGGATCAGTTTGCAGAGTGGGGTTTGAGGTGTAGGGCTACGTAGTAAGTACATGGGTGGTTTTCTAAATTAGGGTCCCTTTTGGGGGTCCTTTTTATAAGGGTGCCGTACTCTATTGAGGCCCTACACAGGGACTCTAATTTAGAGAGCTACCCACAGTCTAACCCAACCAGGAAGCCTCAAACTACGCAGGGGCCTAAACCCTAAACCCCTAAACCCCTAAACCCTAAACCCTGAACCCCTAAACCCTAAGCTGGTCGATTGAGAACAGCAAACCGAACAACGTCCAGACTGAGACCCACGCAACAAACGCTTGAATGCTCACCACGCTTAGGCTCCAGAGTAGTTCCTTTTTGG